CCCTGGGTTGCGAGCCTGCGAGCAACCGGGGGTGGTGGACGCCACCACCTTGGCACGATTATGCTACTTCCTTTACTTTTACACTTGTTAGTGTGCTCACGATACCAGGAAGGGAGAGATGGGGTTATCAAAATTACCTGCGGTGGAGGATGGGGGTAGATGACGGATCGGGGTAAAGTGGCGTTGAATCTCCTCGAACACATCACCCCCTTTGTCAGAACCTTTAAAAGGATACCACAATAACTAGAAGCCGGTCAATAAGTCATAATAAGTGAGGAGGTTCGCTGGATCATCACCCCCCCAGTTCCTCCCGTCACAACACATCCCACCCATACAGCCCCACCCTTCTGAGCCACCACCCCCGAAACCGCTTTCCATACCACACCCTCCCCCCTCTTCCAACCACCGGCTGGTACCCTCCTTCCCCGCCCGGCTCTCGGTCCTCCGAGCCACTTCTCCAACCAGCCTCTCACACAGATCTCTCAAAAAGAATAGTCCACCATGGGCACACAGTTTGTCCACCCCCATCATTTCAACCCTAACTCAGGACACGTCCGGTATGCGCGTGATCAAGCACAAGCTCTTCTCACCCTTCTTCCTTTCCCGGTTTTCGGGCGTCAGGGCCGGGTTGGGTGTCGGCAAGGTGGCTGGTCATGGGGAAGGGGAGGACAGCGGTATGGATCCTGACCCGCCGTAAGCAGATGATTCCGGAGCATACTTCTCTAGCCGTAGTCTCCCCACCTCGCTATCATGCTGAGCGGCAGATTTCCGCCCCTCCCCGCTTTTCTTCTTGTGTTGCTGTGTCTATTCCTATGCTTTTTTTCCGGTCTTTCACTCACTACTTTCGTAATTATTTACGCTTTTCTCCCCTAGTTTCCTTGCTTTTGCAGCAGCTGTCTCAGTGGCTTTGCGTACTGTTGCGTCCGGGATTCGGGAGTAGTCAAATTTTGTGGGCTTCGGTGGTAGCGCGGGAGATTTCTAGGGGCGCTGGTCTGGAGGCGATGGAATAGGTGGAGCGGAAGAGGCATGGTGGGGAACCCTGGGCTGAGGCGCCATTACTGTAGTTTCTAGAATAGGCATAGGGATGTTGGACAATTATCGTTCTTGACTGTTTACCACAAACACAGTTTCCTGTTCCCTGTGGATGGAAAACATACCTACAACCATTCTGATTCGCGCCATTGTCTTAAGAACGCCCCACCACCGTTAGTGTCAGACCAACTCTCATACCAACCCTGCAAACCTAGTGCGACAGTATTGGATACAGTTCTACCTACAATGAAACACCAATACGGACGGCTGTCAAATACTATACCCTCGGTAATGGACTGCACCCTCAGTAATGGGCAATGCCCGAGACCGGTGGCAGAGTTATACCCGTGACCATGGTGCTCATACGTCAGGAGTGCTCCGGCAAAGCCAGCAGAATAACAACCAAGTACGGCAGAGTAGGAGAAGGATTTCGCATGCGCTGGAAGTATGCCAGGGAAGAGGATTTTCTGTTGAGACGGATATAAGGCAGTTTGATCTCTCTGTTATTTCTTATATTATCGCATTCAATGTCCCTCTACTTCGTCTTTAGTTATATTGTCCCAGTGATTCGTTACCATACACAATCCTATTGCTCTTCCTCATTCTTTGATTCCATTTTTCTCTCTCTTGTTATTGTTCGTACCAATAAAAGTTCCGTGTCGTCTGGTGAACTGCGAGTTGCATCCGCTGTACGAAATCCCGGAGTGTTGAATAAGGGATAGGTACCATTAGTATATCGTGGTAGAATGCCTTTTCATAGACACAGGGCCGGGATCCAGCTGTGCCAGCGCCATTTCACCTCCTGAGGAGATAATACTTGTACAAGGGTTCTCGGAGTACGGTTTGGGGGGGGGACAAGTTGACCCCAATGTGTACGGTATTTCTCCAGTTATTTCTTCTACTACACTGCCACCCGACCCCTCAACTCCGGTGCCCGTGAGGTCAAATGAGTGCTCTAGGTGCGCCACTACAGGTACGGGTTTCCGCGGATACTTGGAGTGCCCGGTGGAGGATGTGTAGCAGTTTACAAAGCGTGGGGGGACTATTTTACTATTTAGGGCTTAATTGCCGGTTTCGTGCCCTCGGACGGCGTTGTAGCGGTTTTTTAGGCCTTCGGGATCAGCGAGGTAGCCACTATTTCAATTAGTTAAACGACTCCAATATAGAGGGCGGCTAGAGTAGAAAACAAAGGCCTACTAAAGCTGTGAAGTCAAGTACTACCTCATCGCAGAGGTAAGTTGAGAATGGTCTCTATCGATAGACTTCAGCGCCGGATCCCAAGTTCCCTCTGTACCCCCTTTAGCATTCATGCCCCTCATAAGAATATTGTGATTAAAAAAATACCCAGCCTACCCTGCACAACCGCGAAATTCCGCCGTGGTCTCTTCTGAAAAAAACCCACACACACTGCCACTAGAATGTACTATGATATACCGTTCATAACAGAGCTACCGTCGAATATACCCCTCCATACACCCCCTCACCCTCATGTGAACCACCCTCCTCGCAAGGACCCTTCCCCCGTAACCGAAACGGACTCCCGAACCCAGTGAATATAATCCCCTGATGCATCCCCAGAAATAGCGAATCGAGCTTGACAACCCCCAATATATTATCCCCGAATTCCCGCGCTTACCTCTTGGCAACGTCGCCCTGCCGCCAGAATCCAGCAATGGAATGTTCAACCAATATCAAATCCATTACTTGGTCTTAAAATTTGTATAATTCTGTATGAGCACCCTGGCCCGAATTTTCCAAAACCACGGACAAAACAAGTTGTGAAGGTGGGTAGGAAAGATCCAGAAGCTCGTTGCGTCGCCCATAAAGCCACGGGTGTAGACTCTGAGGAGTTTCCGCTTCCCCTTAGGGAGAGAGCGTGGAGAACATGTGGGGGCCGTGGAGACTTGCATTCCCGGATTGTAATCCCCCTCCGAGTAGGAGTAAGCGAGAAAATCTGGGGCTACTGGTAATAGCGAGCGGCTTGCCGTTGGAGATCTCGGAACAGTTCCCATGGAGGCAGCGGAGGAGGTATCATACACCTGGCCCTGGCAACTCTGCGATGCGATTATTCTTGCCACCCATGCTCGTCTCGTGTTCGTCCATTGTTTTGTTTCCTTACCTACTCTCCTTCCGCAAGTCAAGCGATGCCGAGTCATGAGGCTGCCAGGCAATTGCGGATAGTAGGCTGTGTCTCGTAATTACTAAGATGCTGTATGGAAAACTGGCGCCGATCGCATCCTTTACAGGTACCGGTACTCGAGTACATTACAGCCAATAGATTCAATCGTCACGTGAAGCGCGGTAGCAAGAACGATCCTGAGCTTTTGCTTATCACACTTCATGTGACGGATCTATCTATCAGCCTCAATTGTGCTGCCGGTGTTGTACTGCCGGTATTGGCTTTCTTGTTTCGAACTTAGTAATGTTCAGGTGAGGGGTCGGATGCGATACGCGTGCGGCGATAACCTAGCACCTTTGTGCCGCGCTCTCCTCCTGGCGCAAATAACTTATCATGCATGGGAGGGTAAGATAAATCTAACGGCCTAAGCACGCAAGAGGTCTGATAACTGAGCCACGACCGAGGAATGACCGTATAATAACCGCAATACCACAAAATATCCTTCTAGACCACATGGACAGACAATAGTTCTGGCTTGGTGGCTTAACAGGATTTGCTGATACACAATACATGTGGCGGGCTTATCATATACGGTACCACACCGGGAAAACGTTAACCCTTCACGGGTCCTGAGGGAGATACCAGTAGTGGATTTCACCGAGATTTTTCCTGCCTGACCAGAAACAAGCCTACATTAGTCGCCCAAGACCCACCAGCGTTACGCTGACTTGAAATTTGGCAACAAGGTATGAGATTTATTTTTTGCGGTTTCTCGCTTGAGCCAGAGATCTTCTATGAAAGGACTATCAGCGATAATTACTCTCTAAACTCAGCAAATTCCTCCTACTGTAAACATGATTCTTTCGCATGGACAATTGATCTATATGCCGGCTCCAGCAGCATTAAGCCCCCCGCAGAATCTGGTGAATGGAATACAGAATACGTCTGCTTCGGAACGCCCCTGGTGTGAGTATCCAGAGCACTCCATGTAATACAGTGCAACCGACATAAATTGTGGACCGGTGATGAAACACATTCTACAGCAACCATAGCTAGCGATACTAGAACCTAAACACCAGTATGGTATTAGCCTTCATGTATACCTCTTCCATGCTGTAGTACCGTGGACTTTTATTTAGCAGATTTTTCATTAGAAAAGTGTGTAAGAATTTACTTACTGTTGTTCAGTTGATTGAAGTGGAGCTCGCACAGCGTTTCTAAAGATAATCGCTGCCGGATAGTTTATCCGTGCTGTTGGGTGAGTGGAGGACACTCATGAGAAATGACACCAATAGATATTGTCGTCCTTTGTTTGCTAATTAGAGGTTTCTACCCCCTTCGATAGACGACGAAGAGAAAAGGGAGGGAAAGAGAACACGAAGGACAGGGGACAAGTACCACCAGAATTTTCCTTTCTCTTTTTCTTTCGACCCCTCTGTGCTGCTGGGGAAGCATTTTTTATAGAAGAAGAGTCAAGGATAAAGATTCATCGTGGAACGGGGTCGCATTGCCTTCTATCCACTTTTTCTATCACCATCAATATCACCATTACCGGTGAAGTACTTCACAGCCAGCTCTTCAGCGATTTCCACAGCTCTCCGGTATTAGCGAGTACTGATAGATTTGCTCTTTGCCACCACCCACCAAAGTACACCAAGTTAGAGAAGACTCGATAGTGTCCCATCTTCTCACCATTTTCCATAGCCTGCATTTCTCAATTTTCGAGTACGTATTCCATCCTCATACAAACTCTTTTTACAATTCCTCTTTTTTTATGTCTCTGATTTCAAAACAAAAAGCTACAGATAAGTGATATTTCAGACACTCTCTTGCTTTTGTTTTTACTCTGGTATTTGTTGTATGAAGGACTTGTTCTATCACTGGTTTGTACGTAGTTGGGTGGACCAGGTTTTACGCAGATAATCTCTTGTGGCTAGGATAATCGGTTTTTCAAGGGGGTGTTGGGCTCAGAATGCACAAACAGAGTACGGTATATACTAGCGCTGGCGTACGAGTATGCCAAGCCTTTCTACGCTATCGATGTCACCTTGTAAGCTTCCCCTTCAGAAAGGGAATTAAAGAAGACCTCTCACTTTTTTTTCCTCTCCCTTGCATCCCCACACAACCTGTGTTGCTGGCATTCAAACAAGCTTTTTTTTTTCACCAACAGATACAGGTCTATAAAACTTTCATTTTTATCAACCAAACTTCACCCACCCCCGGCCCACTCAAGGTCTTCACCTGTACACAGTTCCCCTCTACCCCTACCTACCATCATCACCATTCCCCCATGCCCTGCTCGCACCAGTCAAGTTAAAATGCCAAAGGTAGAGTTGCTTATGAACACCCCATCCTTCTTTTTTCAACCAGTGTACTAAGTATTGTAGAGATGGTAGCTGGGATCCTGTTTTGTGACATCAATGGCAATACCAATCCAAAGGAGGAACTAGCCACAGTACAGGATTCCCTAACCACAGCAGTTGAATCAATTAAAATGGTCTGAGTTAAAACCTTTGCATGACCAAAGACAGCTTATGGCAATGCATTTGGCACTTCTATTTTTCAGTCCATTGAGAGCATCAGAAGTGAAATAGGCAAGCTAGGAACCAAAGCCAAAGCCCATGAGCAGGAATACAAGACTAATACTCAAGACTTTGAAGAATGCATCAGAGTTCTCATTCGAGGATCCAATATCCAACGTCAGTTAAGAATAGTGTTCATTATGGGGTGGGGTGGGACAGGTTTCTGCAAGTTCTTCACTCTCCATTACAGCCCCGGGGTGCTGCCAAACTCTCCCCTTCCTACCCCACCCCCGTGCACGGGGTACCAGGTGACCCCAATTGTGCTCCCAGCCATATAATTTAGTGGGAGCAGTAGTGGGGCCCTGTACCAGGGGTGGCCAGGGCAGGGGGGATGGAGGAGAAAATAGGCTCTGCCCCAGGCTAAATTCCCAGGCAGGGCAGGGAACAGGGGTGGGGACCCGCAGTTTTTGGGGCCCAGGAGGCCCTGTAGTGAGCTCTTGTTAAGAAACATTGTACTCGACATAAGAAAATGTTTTTTTGGCTACATCCTAGCATGGGGTGGCAGACAAGCAGACCCTCATCAATGAAATAATAATTCAAGCCAGCAACCACCGGTCTCATGAAGGAGATGTTATAACATATATTTCTCTGTTTCACAATAGTCTGATGACTTTCCATGCTACTTTCACAAGATTATATGGTTTACCATGGCGAGATTCAGAAGGACTCTTGAGTATGGTAATCAATTCTCCTTAGTTCTCATCTGTTCCTAATGAAATATCTTTAGTCTACAGGAACTGGCACATAGTGTTTATGATGAATAAGAGAGCCACCTGACTTGCAAACACTGAGAACAGCAAGGAATCTAATTACATGTGGTCTAAGAATATAGAAGCAGATTTCTGCATATTGGTTGAGTGGTCCAAACATTCCACTCCAGCGGAACTAGCTTGGTTTAGGCAGGATGAGCATGGGGAAAATTATCACAAAGAAGGAATTCAGAGATGTTAGTGAGGAGCAATGTAGCTCCACATTGATTGGTAATGACAAACCTTTCTCCCCTCTATTTATCTACTGCTTGTAAACCATTTTAATCCTGCTTACTCGACAATCACGAACAACCTACCTAAATTATCTAAATTCTAAGCAAGTTCAGACTCTTTCAACCAGACCTGCTCCAGATCTCCAAGGTACACCTGTCCCAATATTCAGCCATTTATTTGGCGGTCCAAGGGAAACGTGGCCTTTTGGATTACGATAGATAACGAGTACTGAAGCTACTTGATGGCTAGGGCACCACCAACCCCACTAGAATCCTCCTGGAATGGGAAGTGAACTACCAGGATACTGTCGACTCAAACAAACTTTCCCCGTTAGTTGTCTCCACTGTGCATTGGCATTTGGAATTGTCAAGATTGTAGCTGGATTAGTCATGGCGGAGGCTGCGATACCCGAGCCTCCCCCGAGAAATTATACCCCCCCCCACTGCCCCTCCACCCTCTCGACCAGCAACCCAGCCCCAAGCCTCCCCTAAGCCTCCCCCGAGAAATTATGCCCCCCAACTGCCCCCCCACCCTGTCCACCAACAACCCGCGGCCCCCTCTCCTTCCCCCCCCCCACCCCTGGCCCCCTCCGCACTCCCCCCGCTCCGCCGCATTTGTCCGCCGCCGGCGTCTCCGGCCCGGGTCTGGCGGGGCTCCTTGTGGTGGTGGTGGTGGTGGTGGTGGTGGTGGTGGTGGCGGCTCCTTTGTATGGACCGGACAGGCCCCGCCACGGTTTGCCCGGCGAAGGAGCCTCCAGTCCACGATCGTCCTGGCAGTCGGTACGACTGCCCGAGCAAAGCCAGAGATCAGGACGGCGTTTCTAGCGAGGCTAGCTGAAGCCAGCATTAAGTCTAAGCCAGTAACTATGCTGCTAAAAAACTCTGAAATAGACTGACAAACCGAGAATTCTAGACATCATCTTTGCAGTGAAGAGGGGAGGTGGATTGCTGGTATGTAAGTTTACGAGAAATGTGTGAGAAGACAGGTCTCTGTACAGGCACCCCCCCGATACGTTTCTTTGCTATTACGAGTCCATTGATATGAAAAACAACTCAGGGACCACGAGTTCTAACGACAACGTAATCTTGGTTTAGGCTCCTGCGAGAAGTGTACCCCCTGTACTTCTGAATCTGCGTTGCTCGTTTCTGACATACGTGCTCAAGTTTGGGTACCTGACGCAGCTCCTCTCGGATTCTAACTACCTTCCCCTTGCTCTTAGGCTACTCAACCAACAAGACTTCATTCAAACTGTAACTACCGAGATCGATCACAAGGATATATGCTTTCTCAACTTCCGCAATCTCCACTCCTACTCCAACCCACATCCAAGCGGCCAAGCAACCGGAATAACTCCTACTTAGACTCAAGCGCTCCAATGGGTTGACTCGGGTTGACCCAACGAACCCATTAGGTCCGTGTGTGAAACTAAAACATGAAAATATCGGTATATGCTTGTGCTCTAGCAGTATTTGCATATTTGAAAGTACAGAACTCCATAGCGGGAGAACTCTGAACTTCAGGGCAGAGTCTAGGTAAAGAGGAGAAAGCTAGATTTATAAATTACCACAGGTGGGGGGGTTTAACGGAAACCGGTCATTGCATCTTTAGCTGTAGCACTCTTTGGAAACGAGTGATACCTGGGGGCTGCTGAAATGATAGAGGTTAGAATTCCGTCTAAGGTTTCTTAATTCAGGAAGTATTCCATGGCTGGGCTGCCGTACTTTGTAGAATAAAGTTTTCACCTTCCGTAGGCTCGGGTTACCATGCAGGATAGCGGGCTCAAACAGGAAAAATAAGCAAGAAAAGAAAAAGAGGGGGGTGGTTGGGTCCAATGGGTGGGGTGTGTATATGGGGCTTCTCAATTTTTGTAAATTATTTACCTATCTCCAAAACGTGTTAACCGCAGCAGCTATTGCTACCATGTGAAAAAGTCGAGTGATTGTTGGTGAAAAGGTACCACCAACTCCAGTACTCCCAAACCCACTGACCTCTTCCATCACCGCCCAGCAGTTGTGCGAACGGGGGGGCGTATACCGGTGCGCCAGTGCTCCAGAGGAGTACCCGGGCAAGTGCTGTCGACTGTGGGGCCGGCTAGAGATGGTAGCTTTGCCAATTATCCACTAGGGGTTGGAATGTGATCGTTGGGTTCTGTCCTTTGGAGTATTCTATAATATTATTAAATTTGACTAGTTTTCCATATATTGCTGTGCTCGGCCGACACAAGTCCGCTGTCGTCCATCTAGAGCCGGCGCAGTGTCAAAGCGATACATGGCTTGGAATATAGGTATTTGTCGAGTGATGTTTTGTGATTTTGATGAAAATAGTTATCGACGCAAGGAAGGGGTTGCGCTGGTATGATAATAGATACTCTTCCCTCCCATAGGGCATCCGAACCCATTGCTGAATAAACCCGATGGGCGGAGGACTATCCGTCAGCCTCCGAACGCCCTCCCCCGCCTCAAATGTTATGCTAGGCTGTAGGAATGGTCCACTGTAATTTTTGTCAACATGCTCTAGGGCCTCTAATACCAAGGTTCGGGTCCTGTCTATACTTTCCATTGGGCTCTAACTTACGGGATTGCCTTTCGGCTCTGGGGGAACGTACCAGGTTTCCAGGAGGGGAGTAAAAGTAGACCAGCAGTCCGGGGAGGGGAGGTGTGCAGCTCGGTCCCCACGAATAGTGGTTAAGTTGGGCTTTACAGCTGCGAAGTCAAGGTTTTTCAACTAGAAATCGCGGTGTTAGATACAACTACACCACGAAACCTGTATATATTGTATGCTTTACTCGTCCCAGTCAAGAATTACCCAGGAATAGGGATTAAAGAATATGGTAAAAACCCATACTAACTCAAAACTCGTATTTTCGCTTCGGCCCAAGTAGGGTTTTGACTGATGGATACCAGATCGGTGTATCAGTTCATGACATATATTATCCCAGCTGTACCTGCCCGGCTTCCGCTAGCTAAACAAATGCAAAACCCTAGCCAACCAGTATCAGTACAATTTATTTTGCTTAATATTTTCGGATACTTCTTCCCTAGGACAGGTGCTGTAGTGTATGACACTCCTAAGTAAAATCTGGGCTGTGGGTCGGTAGGCTTCCGGGATTTTCTCATCAACATCTTTACGACTACAACTCTCGACCGAACAAACTTTAATCTTTCACGCGATATGCCTATCTTCTTGAGAGCCAGGTTCACGTTGCCCGCCCTCCGTGGAAACAAATCCCGGTTGATGAATGCCCCTTAGGTCACTCTAAGACCACATGGTACTAGGTTTGTTAGATCCGACAGCTTTTATTTAAGTATCCAAATTAGGTTATTTGCTACAGCACGAGAGACCAGGCGAAGAACCAGGAAACCAAGGACCGAACCCCTACCAAGGCAGAAACGACTAGCGATGAGGTGACGCCTACTGAGCGCCATGAGATGCGCCTTCTCATAGACCTTCTTAACAAGAGGCTAATCCGAGTTGAGAATGTAAGAGGATTCTGTTTACCTGGAACAGTGCTGACTCTTCCTAAAAGGATATAGTAAACCTTCTCAAAAGGGTTGACGAAGGATTCGAACGGTATGAAGGCGCATTCAACAGGCATGATACCTGGCTGAAGTCCCTGCTCGGGATCACTCTCCTCCAGAGAGTGCCTAACAGCTCTGCGTCACTTTCAGCTCAACGTCGCTTCCAATTTGTATGTGAATTTAAGAAATACAAACCACTTCCAATCATTCTCTAATGCTTTAAATGTCCTTCTGGCTTTCTCACACATTGTTTTAAGTCCTCCCAAACAAGCCTTTTATTTTCTTTCTTCTCTGTTACAACTTTTATTTTCATGTGGTGGGACTCTGGTTTGGATTAAGCGTAAATGTGACGTTGAGCTGAAAGTGACGTTGAGCTGTTAGGCACTCTCTGGAGGAGAGTGCCCAAGGTTGCGATTGAGCAATCCTTGGGTTGTGACTCCGTCACTACCCCGGCACGGTTACCACGCGCAAAGCTGTCACTTCGAGAAAGAAAGAGGGATCACACTAGGCTATGTAGCAGGATCAAGAAGTATCACCTCATTTATTGGACCTATTGTCCATTCGATATGAATTTAGGGCACAAAAAAACAATAAAAAAAACACTATCCCCTTGCAACCCCGATCTATAAAAAAGAGACCCATCCCATTGCAACCGCAATCTATAATATGGGTGTTGATATGGGAAGATTTGGGCCAGACACCTTAAACCCAATTTTGTGTAATTCTACAAGTAGTTTTAAGTTTGCATAGCAACCAAAGAAAAATTGTAAAACATAAAAATATTTCATGCTCTTACATGTAATCAGTGTTACAAAATTCTTTATAGCAGTCAATTCTACTACTAAAAAAAATGCTTTTAAATATCTTTCTGATAGCTGAAAACCCAGGCCACATATCTATGCAAAAAAGAAAAAAGTGAAAAATCTAAAAAAATCTAATTGTGAGTCTATAGATGCACAAATTTCCTTGAAAAATATTTTTCAAGATCATCAGAAGGGACTCTTCAAGTGCAAGAATAATTATGAGCATTGAAGCAAATTTGTTGCATTGGTAGAGTGGCCTAATTTTCGCATATCAGCACCCATATGCAAACCGGACTGGAAAAGAAAAAGAGGGCATCCCTTCCCCGAAAAGCGAAATAATCACTAACACCATTAACGTACACCAGGTAGATCCGAGACATCAGGGATTAGCGAGACAGTGTCCGTGTGGGAAGATCTGGGTAATCGAGATAGTGTCTATCTTTACTTCATACACAAGAACATCATTAATATGAACAAAATAAGAATTGGAAAAGTAGTCATACCTGTGTAGATATCCTGCATAAAACCCAGGTGCTGAAAACAGAGAAAGCTATAAAATGGAGAGGAGAAAGAAAACGAAAAAAGGAACTAAAAAAAAAAAAATGAAAAAAGAAGTGAGGGAGCTATTTGTTCCGAGTCCGGAGGCTCATCTGGTGAAGGTGTTTGGATAGAGGCTCACTCATTGGCGAGGCACCTGCAGCGGGTGGAGAGGCAGAAGGGGTAGAATTGCCAGAACCCATGATGGAACTCTGATTGTCAGAGCTTGAAGAACTCTAGTCATCAGGATTGTTCTGCCGGATGTGTTGCTGAGGGAGGGAAGGTGGTATTGATGTCTGTTTAGAGAGATTAAAATGGACACGGTGGGTGAATGGGGTAACATGGATTGTAGAGAGTGTACGTGGTACTGAATTTCTGTCTCTGGATGTCTGAGGAGTGGTAGGTTCGTTGTGAGAGCTCTGTCTGCACAGTGGTTTTTTTTTTTTTGCATCTGCTTGACGCATCGCTTCCATGGCTTCTGTACCAGTAATAACACGTGCCCGGCTAAGGATTCTCTGATCCTTCTTGATGTCTTTCGCAATTTTGATTTCAGCCCAAAGTCTTTGCATCTCGGTTGTTGGAATATCTGTTGATGTAAGGTTGTACTCAGCTGTATGGGAGAAGCGGAGGATAAGACTGCATATCTCTCCAGTTGTAGCGCTTTTCACGAAGTTTAAGGCCTTATTTGTTTGCTGGCGGAGTTGACATTTTGTGTAGGGAGTCTTGTCAAGTGGGAAGTGGTGCCCGGTGGCAGCAGGTTGTTTTGACAGCCGAGATTGATGCAGTTTTGGTAGCACCATACGGGGTAAAAAGGGGACTATCCCGGTTTTCCGAAATGCACTTTTGACGTTCTCAATAGTGTAGGCTTGGGCTCTGGCCTGCTTGTAGAGTGGAAGGAAGTTGCGGTGGTTGATACCGATATTTGTCGAAATATGGTAGTTTTCAATCGCTTTCCCGTAGTATTTCTGGAGGGGCCCAAATAGGTCAACATTGAGTGGCTGAAGGATATGTGTGGAATGTGCAGGGAGACAGAAGCAGATAATATTTTGTGAATCACAAAATTGACTGAATTTGAAATTGACATGGGACGAATGTCCATCAAGAATCAGCAATCGCTTATCGTCATATGTTCTATACCGCAAGACATTTTTCCAGCTATAGGGATGATAGATCTCTGTCAACCAATAGTAGCCCAACTCTTCATCTGTCCATCCTTTGGGTGATTTCCCAAACCTCACCTCCTTGTCCTCCTCTTTTACATTCCCAAATTGACCATAAGTATGAACCTTTCCCTTTGTAATCAAAAATGTAGGAAAGACATATCCATTGGCTGAAATAGCTTCCACTAAGGTAACCATCTCCCGCTTCCCACCCTGCTTAACATAAGGATTTTTCTTCCCACGCTGAGTCACTACTTTCGTTTTTGATGAATAACCTAGTATGATACCCTTTTCATCAACGTTG